CTCCATCCTGACCACTAATTTGTTCCCAGATATGACTGGCAGACAGGTAGGCTCCTTCCCACATCACTCAGACCTTACTGGGCATGCATCTAAACTGCCTTTGTCCAGTCCAGCGGTTCTCAACCTGTGGGTCGTGACCCCTTTGGGTGTCGAACGACCCTTTCACAGGGGTCGCCTAAGACCATCGGAAAACACATGTATAATTACATATTGTTTTTGTGATTAATCACTATGCTTTAATTATGTTCAATTTGTAACAATGAAATTGGGGGTCACCACAACATGAGGAACTGTATTAAAGGGTTGCGGCATTAGGAAGGTTGAGACCCACTGCTCTAGTCCCTTCCCCCATTAATTAGCAGGGAATAGAAGCGGAGAATGTTAAATGCAGCTTTTTGGCAAAGCTGTATAAATGGCATGCCTATGCTATCTGGCCTCCCTCTTCCCTCCTTTTCTGTTAAATAAACCAGGTTATTATAGTGGCATCAATAGGACCTGGGTTTAATTTCCAAATGTTTCTTTGGGCAAGTTACTTACTCTCATTTCTTAGACAATACCCATCTCACAGAGCTGCCAAAGATTGAAGGAAGCAAAAAAGCACATTTTAAATCATGTAGCACTATATAAGCTGCATTGTTTATCTTAGTTGGATTTGGATCTGTATTTTTTTTTCTTTTTTTTTAAAATCTTTATTGTTCAGATTATTACATTTGTTCTTCTTTTTTCCCCCCATAACTCCCCTCCTTCCAGCTCCCACCCCACCCTCCGCCCTCACTCCCCACCCACTGTGTTCATCCATAGGTGCACGATTTTTGTCCAGTCTCTTCCCGCATCTCCCACACCCCTTTTCCCCCCAAGAATAGTCAGTCCATTCCCTTTCTATGTCCCTGATTCTATTATAATCACCAGTTCATTCTGTACATCAGGTTATTTATTCACTTGATTCTTAGATTCATTTGTTGATAGATGCATATTTGTTGTTCATAATTTGTATCTTTACCTTTTTCTTCTTCTTCCTCTTCTTAAAGGATACCTTTCAGCATTTCTTATAATACTGGTTTGGTGGTGATGAACTCCTTTAGCTTTTCCTTATCTGTGAAGCTCTTTATCTGACCTTCAATTCTGAATGATAGCTTTGCTGGATAAAGTAATCTTGGTTGTAGGTTCTTGCTATTCATCACTTTGAATATTTCTTGCCACTCCCTTCTGGCCTGCAAAGTTTCTGTTGAGAAATCAGCTGACAGTCGTATGGGTATTCCCTTGTAGGTAACTGAGTTTCTTTCTCTTGCTGCTTTTAAGAGTCTCTCTTTGTCTTTTGCTCTTGGCATTTTAATTATGATGTGTCTTGGTGTGGTCCTCTTTGGATTCCTTTTGTTGGAGTTCTCTGCGCTTCCTGGACTTGGAAGTCTATTTCTTTCACCAGGTGGGGGAAGTTTTCTGTCATTATTTCTTCAAATAGGTTTTCAATATCTTGCTCTCTCTCATCTTCTGGTACCCCTATAATTCTGATGTTGGTACGTTTGAAGCTGTCCCAGAGGCTCCTTACACTATCTTCGTATTTTCGGGTTCTTTTTTCATTTTGCTTTTCCGGTTGGGTGTTTCTCGCTTCTTCGCATTTCAAATCTTTGACTTGATTCTTGCGCTCCTCTGGTTTGCTGTTGGGAGTCTGTATAATATTCTTTATTTCAGTCAGTGTATGCTTACTTTCTAGATGGTCCTTTATCACACCATCGAGGGTCTCATTAGATTTCCTGTACAACTCATCAAGTTTATCGACAGACTCTAGAAGCCTCTTGAGAGACCTCAAAAGTGTGGTTCTGAACTCAATATCCTCCCTTGATAGTTTTGTCCTGTTTCTTTGTCTCCGCATTTTTTACGCTTTCTTGGCACACCCCCTAGTGGTCTTTGTGCGCAGTCTTGTTGTAGTTAAGCCTTGATTGTTATAGTTAATACTAGAGGGATTTGACCTCCAGGCCGACTGGCTGTGCTAATCTAGCCTTTGCCTGAGGCTATCCGGCAAATGGCTCTGTGCAGGGCTTGGGCGGGGCGGGTCCCACGGGATCAACAGGGCAGAGGAGGGAGCAGTTATGGCTGCTCTCAGTCCGTCCCCAGGGGCTCTGCCTCTCTGTCCCAGCAACCGCTGCAAACCTCGGAGGGACCGTAGCCAGACAGTCCTGCTTCTCCCGTTTGAGTCTGGGTCCCTAGAAACTCGCCCGGATCTGGAGCTCTGAGTCTGAGGCTCCCTCCGGATTGAAACAGACAACCGCGCCCTCAGCCACCAGCCCGCGCCGCGCGCACTCCGCACCTTAGTATTTTACTTCAGCACTGCGCCTCCTCTGATTCTCGGTTCCTCCTAGTTGTAGAACTTCCATTCAGCCAGCCTTCCTGTGGTTCTGGATGATGTCCGTTCCGTCTTTTAGTTGTATTTTTGAAGTGGTTGTTCGAGGCAGCAAACTCCGGCGTTAACCTATGCCGCCATCTTGGTTTCTTGGATCTGTATTTTGAGAAAGCATCATTCTAGGAGATCATCGACTTCAGTTCTTTTTCTGTATAAAATAGATACATTGTATGTTTCTCTTTTGCATTATGTAAGTCTTTATAAGTTTTCTGAAATTTTATTTTTGAAACATAGACCATGAATGAATGAATTAAATGAATGAATGGGTCAATCTGTGGAGGTATCAAATCCAACATTTCTAATACACAAACAAAATGTGCTAAGCAAGCAAATAAGGTCAGAAGAAAGGTTTTAGTTTGTGCCTTTGCTTTAAAAATGGCACCAGGTTCTGTGAAATATATGAACAGAAAAATATAATTCTTTTGCCTCTTTTCCTAGTTCTGCCTAAAATCATTAACTTCTTTCAAATATATGAGCCAGAGGTTTAAAAAGAGGATTAACAAATATAAGAACTTATGTTATTAACAGTCTTCAGAAGTGAGTGACCCTAAGCAGAGTACAATGATCTTTTGGTAAACCCTGCTTCCTGTAGAAAAGAAAGAAAATCAAATCATCAGCATAATAGAAGCGTAAATCAGATGCACATTTCCTTGCAGACTAACTTCCCCTTCTTCAGCTAGCCTCTTTTTGCTGTTTGTGCTGCCTGCACCTGACCTCCTCATACCCAGGGACTGAATTTTATAGACTTCAGTATGGAGATATCTTCACTGTTTTGATTGTCACCTTCCTGAAGGGCTCAGTCAGTGGTTTGGGGAGAATGAGGGAAACATATTCTGGATTGGGGTTCCAGTGCGTAGACCTGGTTACAAAGGTTTGGTTTGTACTTAACCCCCTCCAACAGGCTGAGGGGGTGCCTCAGGACACAACTGGAAGCCACACTCTTTTCTTGAGGGTGGAGCTCTGCTACTACTAGCAACCTAATGAAATGGTTTTTCCTAAGGTCACCAATGAGGTTTTCATTTAAAATCTGGGACTTTACTCCAAACGCCCAGATACTTAAATTCATTAGCCATTTCAAAGAGGCATGTAGTAAACAGGAAGTGCTCTAATGAAATTGGGCATACAGTGTCCACCTCAGGACCCACGTCATGTGAGATTTGACCAGTTTTTTTGGTAGACTTTATAGAGAGTGGTATATTTGAGATGAACTGAATAGGGATGAAAGAACCAAATTATTCAAAGAAATAGCCCCGAGGGAAAGTGGTGACAGGCAAAAGAATCAACAGAAGATTAGTTTTTATTTTTTTAAGAAAAATACTTAACTACCCTAGGAGTGTCACACAAGCATGTTTAATTCCAAACATCTGAACCTAGCAATGGTGGGAAATGTGGATAGGTTGAATGGAAAAAACAAAATAAAACAAAAACAGCTTTAAGTTGAATCTGGCTAATTAAAATAGTACATATTAATTTCTGCAATGAAAACTGACCATTATCTTGGTTTCAACGTGCAGCTCCTGGCTAAGTACAACAGCTTGCAATGGGATAAAGTGCTGCGGCTGGAGGAGGTGCAGACCAACCTGGGGGTCAGTCTGGAAGAAATGCTGTTGATTATAGAGGATGCTCTTCACCCTGAACCCTATAGCCCCGAGGAGGTCTGCAGGTGTCTGGGAATCAGCCTGCAGGAGCTTCAGACCCAAATTCTGAGTCCAAACACTCAGGATGGTGAGTGTGCTGGAGAAAGTAAGAACATGGGTTGTTCCCCCATTCACAGCTGGAAAATTTACAATTTCCGCAAGGATCTCGCTGATTTTGAAGCATGCTTGAGGGATTTGGAGAATGGGTGTGTTTTGGCAAACTAATTATCTATATTCTTGTCTTCATTAAATTCATTTTTTCACTCATCAACGGACATTTGCTGGTCTGCTGCATGCCAGGTATTCTGGTGAAGCAAAGGTGAATCCTACATTGTCCCTGCCCTCCAGAAGTTCATAATTCCATAAGCATCTCTTTTTTCATCTTTTTTACCCCTACCTACTTTTCTGATTATTATACTACTTATATAAAAGGTTTAAGTCTGAACAGTGCTGTAACTGCTGTGGAACACACTCGGAGCACCAGGAAGTCTTCACTGCTAGGTGAGACTTGTGGCCCACTTTAGTGTGGAAGCTCCTTCTGTGTGCGTGCTGCTTCAAGTAATTTTGTTTTTATACTGATAACATCGGATATTGAGATGAAGGCCAGGTAAAGGTTGGAGGTATAGGGTGGAGCCTTGGAGTGTCTTTTCTTCTTAGAAGTAAAGGTTGTTTATTTGTGGGAAGTCAATGCTGGGGGCAGGGACATCTAGGTAAGATCCAATAGTTTCTTTCTTTAAAAGAAAAATCATCTCAGAGAGAAAAGGAAGGAGAGAAAGAGGAAGGGAGGGAGAGAGGGTGTGAGGGAGGGAAGAAAGGAGAGGTGGGGGAAGAGAGAGAGAAAGAAAGAGAGAGAGAGAGAGAGAGAGAGAGAGAGAGAGAGAGAGAGAGAGAAACATTGATGTAAGAGAGAAACATCAATAGGTTGCTTCCCACATGCACTCTGACCAGGCATTGAACCTGCCATCTTCTGGTGTATGGGACAATCCACTGAGCAACACAGGCCAGGGCTCCAGTGGTTTCTTGAGGTAAAGTTGGGAGTGTGGGAGCTTAGCACAATGATCAGCCTCAGCGCCCCATTTCCATTCCATTCAGTTCAGCTCTGCAATTGGCTATTGAGTGCCTGCAATACCTTTCAAGTAATGAAAGGCTGTAACTAGTGACAGCTTTAGGATCAGATAAGGGAATCATTTGAGGGCAGAGAGAAGGTTCTGGTTTCCAACACTGTTAGATCCAGTTTAATTTGATGAATGTTTACTGAGTCTCTATAACTGGGATGAGCAAGCTGGCCTATAGGCTTAATCGGACTTGCCACCTGTTTATGTAAAATGAACTTTTGCTAGAACACAGCCATAATCGGTCCTGGCTGCTTTTGCACTGAAACAGTACTGTTGAGTAGTTGTGACGGAGACTGAAAAGCTCACAAAAGCTAAAATGTTTACTATCTTACCCTTTGCAGAAAAAGTTGGAGGGCCTCTACACCAGAAAGGCAGTGGACCAAACCCAGTCTGCCTGGATTAGGATCTTGGGCTTCACTCACTAGATGTGTGACCATTGTCTTACATAAAGTAGGCATAACAGGAATACCTCCCTTAAAGGAGTAATCTGTGCAATGTGCTAAGAACAATACTTGGGGGTGCTCATAAATGTTAGCTTCCTTTGTTATTTCTCCTTCCCTCTCCTCCTCCACCTCTGCTAGGTCCTGAGGCCGAGCTTGGGAACACAGAGATAAACACAACGGGCACCATTCTTAAGGAGTTTACGAAGTAGTGATAGAAACTGATAAGAAAAAGCTGATCCAGCATAAAGTAATGATTGCTGTGGTGGAGGTACACTTGGGTCTCGAGAGGCCAGAAAAGACAGAAGTCAGAGCTGGCTTTACTAAGGAGATAGCAATTCGACAAAAGTTAGAGAATAAATAGGAGTGTCCAATGTAGACAAGTGGTCTGAAAGACTTCCAGGCAGGCAAAAAAGCAGGTGCAGAAGCAGGGAGGAGTGAGAGAGGGTTACATGTCCAGAGAACTACAGCTAGTTGAGTGTTTCTTAAAAATAATATACATGGTGCGCCTGGCCGGCGTGGCTCAGTGTTTGAGTGTCAATCTATGAACCAGGAGGTCACAGTGAAGAAGTTGGGTAGGACTTTGGATAGAGAGAGTTTCCAGGGAAACAACCTTTATTCTTTGACTTAAGACATTAGCCAGTTTCTTTAATTCGGCAAATATATATATTGACTTCATTGGGCTGGGTATTATGCTACATGCTGGGATGCAAAGATTAGTAGGATACGATCTCGACCTTATAGTGACCTAATGTCAAAGAGGGAGAGTGCCACACAGCCATCACAGTAAACAACCCTCACTGCAGTGAAGGTCTTTAAGAGTCTTGGAGTCTGGAGGAAAGAATGACTGCATGTCTGGAAAATGTGTCTTAAATTTGAGCTGGATCTCAAAGTTACGGACTTCCCAGGCTGAGAGGGGTGAGAGGCCATTCCAGGCAGAGAGTAGAGCCTGAGTAAAGGCATAGAGACACGGGGAGTGGAGATTTGAAAATGTGCTAAGAGATATTGTGTGCAGTATGAGTTGGATGCCAAAAATACTGTTTAAAGGGATGTCAGTTAAGGGACTAGTATTCTATTCTCCATCACACAACAGCCTGAAAAAGGGTTTGTTGGTGGATATTACAACAGGTAGATTCTCAAGACTAGAAAGGAGAGTTCAGTTGGAATTAAAGATTGCCTGTGTCTAGGAAGGAAGGGAGGGAGGAAAGGAAAAAAGAAAAGGAACAGAAGGTAAAGAAGGCCAAGATATGGATGCTGAGAAAGGCAGAGAATTATAGTATGCGAAATGATCTTGGAGACAACATGATGAATGCATATATCTGTTTGGTGATATGGCAAGGTATCTAAATAAAGACGTAGAACATGTAAAACCCCAACCATATAATTAGATTTTGGAGTTTTTGGTAAAGAGTCAAAAAAGCCTTAATAGACATTGAGGATATTCACTGTCAAATGATCTCCTAACGCAGTCTTTTCATGGTATCACTTCTTTTTTTTTTTTTTTGTGAAATATATTTTTATTGATTTCAGAGAGGATGGGAGAGAGATAGAAACCTCATGGATGAGAGAGAATCTTGGATTGGCCGCCTCCTGCACGCCCCCTAGTGGGGCTCGAGCCCATGACCCAGGCGGGCATGCGCCGGGGACCCGAATCGAACCCGGGACCCTAAGGTCCACCGCAGGCTGACTTTGGCTCCACCCACTGAGCCAAACCGGCCAGGGCCTCACCTACTTCTTTTCCTGAGGTGGGTGCAGGATAGATAGTTAACAGGCAACAATACACGTGATAACAATAGCAATGAAGGAATTTATGGTCTCTGTCCTGCAGAGGCCTCAGGCGCATTTGCTTGTGTGGGTGGGGTGGGGTGTGGGGAGGGGAAGGGGGTGGAGGCGGGCGGGGACGGCGGGAT